TCATCATTCCTAATCTTATCCATCCTAGTGTGCCGGCACATCCACCTCAACATCCTTATTTCTGCTACTTTAATCTTCTGGATATGTGAGTTCTTAACAGGCCAACATCCAGCCCCATACATTATGGCCGGTCTAACTACCACTTTATAGAACTTACCTTTGAGTATCCGTGGCACTCTCTTATTACACAGGACTCCAGATGCTAATCTCCACTTCATCCATCCTACCCCAATACGGTGAGTGAAAAGAAAAAAAACAATCGCACAAATAGGAATAGTTAGAGAAGTAAATAATAAATATGTTAATTACTATACGTTCCATATGTGTAGTCTGTAGAGATCAATTTCCCTTATTCTTCTCTTACTGCTGAGCCTACCTAACTTCACAAGAAAGAAAAAAAAGAAAAAAAAACAAAGAAATGAATTAATATAAATTAAGCAAAATGTTTTTGTTTACCTACAAAAAAGTAAATTATAAACGAGATTTAATAAAAAATTTGAAGTTTAACTCTAGTTAAAAAGATAACAAGGTTAGAAATTTGGCCCTTTATTTGCAAGCAAGCTATCTACCCAAATCACTCTACCTTTTGGGAAATATTAAGACGTATTCTGGTAAAAGATGTCCATAAAAAATATTCAATATTACTCCGTCCCAAATTTAAATTGCTTCTTAAATACTTATCTATAGTTATAGTCTTTTGCATTATTAATTCTTCCATTAAAAAAATAATTTGGGACTTATTTTTAATCTTTAGCAATGTTATGAAATATCATCGCGTCCTTTTAACTCAATTTGATTTGCGGAGTATTAGGTACTCATATCTAAATAGAATGGAGCTCTAAAAATAAGGGGCGATGTGTAACTTTGTTTATGAATGTCCTTATTAATTCTCCCTTTGTCCAATTTATGTGGTATACTTTTCTTTTTAGTTTATACTTAAAAGAATATTATTTTTTATATTTAGAAATAATTAAATTTTAAGCTACTTATTTTATCCTTAATGAGATATTTACAACCGCATAAATGTCTAAGGCTTGTTCTAACCACAAGTTTTAGAAGTTTTTATTTCTTTCTTAAGCTCCACGCTAGTATATAAAGAACCGAACCCATAACTGTAAATGTCGGATTTCCACATTAATTATAAGATAAGTATGTTAAGATTACACAGTTTCTTCAAAGATTAAATAGAAATAAAAACCTTAACACTTTAAAAATTGCAACATAATTGAAGGTTAATTTTATAATTAAATCAAAAGATAGTAATATGAAAGCACTTATAAATCAAAACATGAATATATGGAATAATAATTAGGAAAAAGGAAAGATATGTGGACTCAAAAGAAGAGTAAAAGTTTCACGGGGCGCCTTATTTTATCGGCCCCAATTAAGTTGTACCCACTTTTTAAAAAAGCTTAAGTATCTAAAGTACAGACAACTTCTTCTTCTTCTTCTTAAATGAGCTTGTTAGATTTATTGTTGTTTTGGTAGATTGATGTTTGGGATTTGTTCTTTATGATATTTGGAGGTTATGTTTCAAATTTGTACTCATTTGGAGTAGATTTAAGAGTTAAATCGTATGTTGGATTGTTAAAATTTGAAATACAAGTTTTGTTTTTGGGCAATTTGCACTTCAAACCTATTTGGTCTTAAGTGAATGAAAATATTGGTTGCACTTCACACCTATTTGACCTCAAGGGCATGCAAATGTTTGTTGCACTTCATACTTATTTGGCCTTGAGTGTAATTTTTGCACTTTAGACTTAATTGACCTTAAGTGCATTGCATTCTAAACTTTTTTTTCTTTAACTACGGACTCGATAAGTTTGAAGTTGATCCTAAAGTGGATAGTCTTATAAACTTTTGTGCAAATTAGGTATAACTTCTATGGTGACCCCAAAACTGAGTATAGATGCAAGTGATTATTACACAAATAGCCGATCAAATTCAATTTTTATTTTTTTATAGCCGATATATACATAAATTATATATTGATTATATATATCAACTATTTTTAATTTAACAGGCGAACGACTGTTTAAGTTAATTCTTCTAGATGTGCAAATGCCCCAAAAGAAGAGGCAGGAAGTACAGCCATAAGAGAGACCCAAGAGTCCAAATGTGATGAAGGTCACTGCTTGGCCCAAAAACCCGACGTATAAATTAACACAACAGTCTTATTCTCCAATTCCATACGACAAGAACCAAATTCAAAATTCAAAATTCAAAATTTGTAAAATCTGAAACAGAGCAAAAATAATGGCAACAAAATCTGACATGAAAGGTTTCTACAAGCAAAAGAAGAAAGGCGGTGGCATCGCTAAACCATCCAATTCTAAATCATCATTTACGAAGAAATCCACCACCCCAAAGAACGCTGCAGCTATTGGCTCTGATGTTACTCAGCCCCCTGCACTCATCTCCCATGGCTCTCTCGATTTACAAGGTCAAATATTTTCCCTCTAATATTTCCAATTTCTTGCACCCCTTTTAAATTTTAACTTCTGTTGCGTATTTATTTTTTAGTTTTGGCCTTAGGGTTTGTTTACATATGTTTGTTGATTTTTGGTTATCTTAGGTAAATTAGGAGTTTTTTTGTACACATGCTTGTGCTTTGAGTTTTGGTCACCCTTTTGGGACGTCTAGCGGCGGAGCCAGGAATTTTAACAAGGAGATTCAAAAATTTGAACCTGCGATCTAAAAGAAATTGTTTTTGCCCTTTTTACGCAGTACAAATTTCCAATGAAGGGATTCAATTGAACCCCTTAATTTTTTAAACTCTTGCTTTTGGTTTGCTACAAGTTAGGGGTTCCTACAACTAAGTATTCACTCGGTAAAGTAGTCACTCGGTAAAAAGGGGCTATAGAGGAGATTTATTCTAAGGTCCTAAGATAACTTTTCCCAAGATCTGATTTTTTTGAGATAGAATAATTACTTTTGTCTTTCTTCCAGTTTTAGCCAATTATCTAATTTCTTAATTTCTTTTTTCGTTTTGTTTGAATTTCTTCTTTAAGATACTTTTTTCCTCTTAATTGAAAAATGTTTGAAGAGTGTGCATACACAAAAGTTTTAGTAGAAAATCACATGTCTATAATTTTTATGGATTCAATGAAATTGAACTCGTCCAGGAACTGGCATCTCTCTTGTTGAACGCTTGCCGCAGTCCTTATGCCTATGGACTTGCCATACTAACATGAGGTTTTTCATATCTTCAATCAATTAGCAAGTCATATATGAATTCTATGATTCAAAAGAACTAATTTGTCAAGATATCTTTGGGCAAAATGTTATCCTATGGAACAATGGGCTATATTCTGGGGTTGGATTGGAGAGGTCAAAGTTGTTATTTTCTCGTTTATAACCTTTAGTTATTACTATAGATGTATTAAAAACATGGCTTCTAAAATTGGCTTGTCAGTGTGTTTATATGGTTTAGAGAAAGGAACTTGCCACTACTTTAAAATTTTAATTAAAAACGATGCGCCAGAACAGTTGCATAATTATAATCAACCAGGTAGGAATGGAAACATCTGCTTACCAGGCATGATATACTATTATACTAAAGTAAACTGGAACAAACAGTCTATCACCATTAGCAACTTCCCTCAGAAAAGTTTAGCAGGGAAATGACCACTGAGATATGTTTCTGTTTCATTGGTGACATTTTGGTTTAATAGCTTTGGAAGCAAAATAAGGAATGTACAGTTTGTGGACACTACTCGAATCTTTCTTTTCTTTTGGTATTGAACTTGCAAAACGTAGTGCTGAATTGTTAAATTCTGAAGTTTTGCTCTTTTTTTTCTCTTGTTTCTCTAATATATTTTGTGATCTGAAGAGGTTGCTTTTGTGTCCCTTGCAATTACCAAATCTGCAGATGATTATGATCAGAATGAGGAAGTGTTGAGGCAATTTGACATGAATATGACTTATGGGCCATGCCTTGGAATGAGCAGGCTGGACAGGTGGGAGCGTGCTAAGCGACTTGGTTTGAATCCTCCAACAGATGTGGAACGTCTTTTAAGGTCTAGCAAGGTTCGCCATGAGTCCCTGTGGGATGGTCGCGTTTAGCCCCCTTCTGCATCGTATGGGTCTTTTGGTTTAAGTCTAGTTGCCATCCCTCTTTTGTTTTCCCTTTTCCTTTGGGGTTTTAACGGAATTTGTGTAAAAAGATGTACAGCAGCTGGCTGTACTGTACTATTAGTATCTTAGATATGCTCTACTTGACTGTAATTTTAATGTGATTCGCCTTGAAATTTTCTCTTCTCGTGTGATTTTAATTTTAACGTGTTCCCCTTGAAAGTCTTCTCATACCGTTACTGTTTTTCATCAAAATCCATCAACTTGAAATAGTTGATGGATAAGAGATAAATTTGTAGCAATGTTGAGTAAGAGACTTTGGAGCAGTTTCATGCCAGTGCAACGGACACACCAGTCACTAGTTCAACCATTTTATTTGTGTCAATTTGACAACAGTTTGACTTGCTTTTTAGTGTTGTGCTCATTGCTAGGATCGGAATACTCATGCGGAAGCTAACAAAGCAAACATTAAACGACGGTAAATCAGATAACAAACGAGAAATATACCAAAAAGAGATACAAATATTTAATGTGGTTCGGTCAATTAGCCTACATTTATGAATAGTACTCAACTCATTTCTCATCCAAGAGTTATTATATCTTAAAAGGATATTAATCTACAGTTTAACAGCTATGTTACAAAAATACAACACTTACAATAGTATGATACAACACATGTATCAATGAAAAAATTCACAAATTCTTACTTGTCTGTTGACTGCATTAGTGTACCCTGCATAGAAAGAACACACAAAATGCTGATAGTACTTTTTAAATAATTGATTCCTACAGAAGATAGAGGTGTAAGAATTATCCCGGTCAATTAACCTACATTTATGAATACACAATGTATAGAATTAAAAGAATTATAATATAATATTTTTTAACAGAAAAAAATAAAATAAACTTGCAAACTCAGCGTAATACTATATAGCATTAGGAGAGATTAATGTCTCCACATATGTTACAGCCCAATTGAGACAAAGTGATTCTTCAAGCTCAACTACTTTAACCTTTTGGAAGTGTCGTTTCGAATCATATATCACAAATTCAGTTTTATCCCTCAGAAATAACATATCTCCATCCCTAATAAATCCCACAGGCTGCATCCAAAATCTGTCATTCCAAATACACGGAATTATAATTGTCAACATTATATTCCAACTACAACTCATTCCATTCTTTTTCATACACCAAACTTCAAAATCAACCATCTTATTAACAGGGCTCAAAAACTTAGCTAAAAAAAGACTTTCTCCTATAGTAAATAGAGTTTCACTGACAATCCCTAAATCCTCGTCCGGACATAATATTTCCTCAAATTTTTCATTTTTCAAACATAGACTTAGAATAAATTTCTTCCCCTTTTTATGGCTAATCATGTAAACAATTCCATCAGCTATAACCATGGCTCTATCATAGTACGTGTCACGAGGCAACTTGCCCATCAATTTCCACGAATCATTTTTCGTCGAAAATATTTGAATATTATGACCACCTTGAGAAACTTTAGGCCCTACTCTAACTATTTTGTAATCTTCCAAAGTAGAAACATAACCTAAACCATAAACTATTTTGTCATTCTCTAAAGAAGAACTATACCGTAAATCATATGATCGCTCCTTCTCAATTTGGATTGCGCGAGGGATTGTTCTTGATTCTCTGATCGTCGGGTTCCAAAGAATAATTTTATCATAAGAGAAAGCTAGAAGAAATAAACCATATTTGCAAGAACTGACCACAAATTCTCTAGTCAATGTATGGTTGATTTTTGGAGGATGTTCAAGAAGAGAAATACCGGAATCATGTTGAAACGGGGCGTCATTGGAGTAGTACTGTTGGCAATGGTATTGGTACTTTATACAAGCCAAAAATATTTTATGGAAATTTGTATCATTTTTGTAACGATCATAATGTTGTTTGATGAATTGACGATCTTCAATTAGAGAACGCCATGATTTGCAAACGCAATTGAACCTTAGAATAGAACTCACAGGAAGTTTTATCAATATATCAATGGTGATATCACGGGGAAAGTTATCAGGCATTCTAATGGCTATAAGGTTTTGGGTTTGAGCTGTGCTACTTTGATGTGGAATTGTTTTGCTAGGATTAGGGTTTTAATATTAAGTGAAAAGAAACCAAATTATTAACGTTGCGTTTTTTGTGGGAATTAAAACAAACTATTAACGCCGATTTTGCCTTTTCAGTTTTCCTTTTATTTTTCTTTAGTAAGTTCTACTTCCAAATTAACCGATATATATATATATAAAATTATGGAAAATAACTTGATTATAATATTTTTCACCCAAATTAATTATTAGATCTACCAAAGTATTATATTGTTTATCGTCTGTATGTAATATATGTTCTCTACCCTAAAATTACTGAATTCTCTTTTAATATTCTATATTTTTTTTCTGGATATATTCTTAAGTCTAAATATTCTAAATTCTTTAATTTATCTATTTTAATTAGCCTAGTGATATCCAAATTTTTCTGCTTTTTAAAAATTGTATCCTTTGCTCTTCATAAATTATATCACTTTCTAATTCTTGTATTTCCCAATCTTAAGCGTATATGTTCTGGTCACTAATAATAATCTATACTAATAGATTTGATGTCATATGAATTCTTAATTCTGATTCTTTTATTTGTTGAGCTAGTTTTGAGGTTGTTGTTAAAAGTTTTTTTTAACTTTTTTGAGTATTTTTATTAATTTTATTTTTTCTGCTATATCTCTGTTTAAAATCCAATAATTAAAGGCTATTTGTTTAGTCAAATGACGTTGTCTCATAAGTATAGTCTATCCTAAAGAAAAATGTTCTATTTTACTTCTAAGTGTTCTAATATATTCCTTTTCTTGTATAATATCGTTATTAACTCTTTGAATTTTTCGAGTAAGGAAACCTTTATAATTAAACCTATTATCTATATTGATTATATCTAGATCAACTAGGGGTGGGCGTCGACCGGTTCAGTTCGGTTTTCATGAAGTTCGGTTTGTTCGATTTTCGATTTTCTGTTTGGTGCACCAATAACCGAACCAAAATTAGTTCGGTTTCTTCGGTTTTTGCTAATTCGGTTCGGTTGATTTTCGGTTCAATTCGGTCGGTTTGGTCTTGTCGTATTGAGCTTTTAAATCGGATTTTTTCTACTAAAAATATGACTAATTTCATGTTTTAGTGCAACTAAAACTCGAAAACGCGATTATATCATTCATATAATAAAATATTTCTAATTAAAATATGAAAATACCAGAATTATCATAAATATATTGGTATTATTATGTTATTATACCATTTTATATAATTAATACTTATTTAGAAAAAAAAAAAATGGTTTGGATGGGATATGGAAAAAGCGTGATTACAAGTGAGAGATTTTGTTTGCTATAAGTTTCTGATATGGAAAGAAATATTCTGTTGTCATCTATGTAAATCTCCTTATGATGCTAGGATTATGTGATTTTGGTTGAAACCGTGCCTAGTTTTAAAACTTCCTCCAAATAAAAAGGGATAATTTTTGAATGTGGGACTTTATTTATGTTTGGGCTTCAAATTTTATAATGTAAATATGTAGAAAAGTTGGGCTAGACAACTTAAAAAGAGCCCAGAGGTTAGGACCCATATTAGAAAACTTCGGTTTTTCGGTTTAACTAAAAACCGAAGTTGCAAAATCGAGCACCGAACCGAACACCGAAATTATAGAAAACATAAACTGCAAACCGACCGAATAAGCCGAAAAATCGAAACCGAATAAATCGAAATTTACGATTCGGTCAGTTTTTTCGATTCGGCCGGTATTATGCTCACCCCAAAGATCAACTTCTTCTGGACTATTCAGATATTGTTCTAGTTTTGTTTTATATTCTATTATGCTTTGAATTCTGTCTAGAGTGAGATATATTAAGTGATGGTGATAGCTTATATATCTAGTGAAAATATGTTATTTCATAAATTTGTAGTCCTAAAACCTTCTAACTCTGATACCAAAAAGAAAGGAATAATTTCAAAAAAGAAAAAAAATGATAAAATAGAAGATATAGTTAACACTAGAAAAATTCTTTCAAGACAAAGACAAACAAGACAAACATATTATCAAAAATTCCAGTCCATAAATAAATTTCAGTCCAAAAATATTCCAAGATCAGGTGAATATGGTAATTACGAAAATGAGAACTACCTAAACTATCAAGATGCTCAAGATCCAAATGATAACTCGAAAATGAGTTTCGACTCGATAGCTATACATAATCTTGACACGTAGAATAAAATTTTAAGAACAAAACAAAAGACAAGACAACAAATAGTGAAGAATCGCTCTGGCACAAGAGGTACAATAATGCAAAAGACATGTGAAGAAAGAAGAAATAACATAAAGTAGTGCTGAAAAGACTGTAGAGTCTTTGAATGAAAAAAATAATTTCAAAGTGACAAATAAAAATGAATCATCTCTCCTCAAGTCATGTGACGATGGGGCTAATGAAGTACCCAGCAAGGCTAGAAAAGAAAGGTTTCTGAATATGTTTGAAGTCCGTTTTAAAATTCGTTCCAAAGAATCGACTATATAGAAAGAGAGAATGAAGAAGAGGGACACAACTACAAGTCCCATATGAAGAAAATATCCAATATTTCCTTCATCACCCACCATTCTCCAACACCCTTTGTAATATATTTTCCTATGTATGTTTTAGTATTTTCTATCTCAAGCCTGTAAAATAAATAAAACTTTATGCTTTAGTATGCAAGTTTTTTATTTCAAAGTCCAGTAAACTCTTTCGGGTTCACCGAAAGGGCGATCTCTCTCCGGTAAACATGTAAGTTACTATTTTTATCTAAAAATTATGTTTCTGTTTATTACCCCGAATTTATTTATAGTTTTATATTATGTATTTAATTTCTTAATTGCTATTATGTATTTAATTTTGCCAGTTTGTAAATAACTAAAAACTACTCTATATAAGTATATGGTTATCTTTCCAACTTCTTAATAAATCTGATGGATTAATCTGTAAATTCCTAGGGGAGACCGGTTAAGATTAAATATTACCACAATGGTATTAAAATGGGCAAATATGTTTAACTGCGGCTTAAAGAAAGAGGATTTAAGAAAAAAGGTTGGAGAGAAGAGATGAACATAGTAAAAAAAAGAGAGTATACATTACGGGGTAATGTCAGTTCATAATTTTGATAAATTATTAACAATACAAGTTTATAGATTAAGAAAGAGGGAGTACCGAGTAGGATTTTACAATCATAAAGTTATCACCCTTTATCATTCCCCAATCACTTTTTACATACCCCTTATATAT